ATTAGAGATCATAGTGAACGCCAGTTGAATATTTCCAATCGTAAGTTTATTAGTTGTTTTCCATCGTATTTATTATTTGATCATATAAGTATTATTCCACCGTAAGAGTTATTCCATTATTCCATTGGAGTCTTCGACCAAATCCTAAGTGGAAAAGGTGCAGAAACTACTCGAACTTTGATTGCTTATATATCTAAATTGTTACTGCGGTATAGCTATTCTAAAATCTAAATGGTCCATAGCTATTGCTAAAATATTGATTTAACGTCACTAAAGTTTACGTCAGATATTTACATGTTTGTGTAATACATTTAAGTGATTCACTAATAATATTAATCGTAAATCGCTATTTAAATGTTATTATTAAATTCGTCGTATAACAGTGTAAAAATAATAGGATTTTTTTTTGTTTTATACAAGTAATAACAAATTTTTTAAATTTTGAATTTTGAAATTATACATGTTAATAAGATAATTCATTAATTGCCGTAAGTAAATTTGGTTCTTGTATGAAAATACATATATTTGTAAACTTTTATCTAATTCTGTCATACTTTTTATATTAGAAAAAAAATTACATTTTTTTTGTAACACACTGTATGTCAGATCGGAATTATAGCATCGTTTATGAATCTAGCTGCATTTTGCTTCAGCATTGTTTTATGCTTATATCAAGTTATTAGATATTTGCACACACACGAAAAATTAAACTCTGCTGAAAAGGATACCAATATCCTCGCAGATATTATGTTTCGCCGACAGCCATTTCACCGATAGCCATTTCACCGACAGTCATTTCACCGACAATGATTTTGAACATATTTAGCCACTTGAAAATTTCTTCTTGAAATTTTATGAGGTCATTTATTGAGCCTTTGACCGTTTTGAGAATGTACTTAATTTATTTCATCGTTAAATTTCGAAATACCATTAACCTATAATGTTTGCAAATAATTATACAAACAATTATACGTTATCGAAATCAGAGCCAATCTTCAAGCCTCATTAAACTATTTCTGCCAAGCGACTCTTATAATATACACTAATAAACTCGTTAATGAGAATACAATACTAAGAGAAGAGATAGATAACGCGGAAGGATCGAATTACCATCGATTGACAATGTTTCATACATGGAAGAAGCATCAACACATTCTTAATTCAACGAACAAAATACACGTTATGATTAGACGTTTATTGTATCAAATTAAACTATGGTAATGTAAACATGAAAGATAGTGGCTGTGTATATTAAGCTTTGATCGTCAGTTGCATGAATTCATAATAACCCCATGTGGATTGAGATCTTGCAATACTAATACGCATGTACCAAATCTTTGTCATTAGCTTTGACTTAATTTGAGCCTTTGAATTTTATGAATCTCACACTTCCGTTCGAATAACGGAGCAGTATAGTGGAGGCAGTTACCTCTCTCATACGGTGTCATCCAGTATTTATTAAGTGGGCGATGCGATCGACAAATAGCAATAAATGTCGCAAATTTTACTGCAAACGTTTGGGCTCATTTGATATTACTGAATCAGGAACACAAGGCAGACGTGCGATTCAAAGCATTGGTCGGTTTATAGGTAATAATGATTATAAAATGATACTTAGGTCTGCGATTAATTAGCCGAAAGTGTTGGTGGCTTCAGCAATCATAGTACGCTTAGTAATAATGAAACAGACAAACGTTATTAGTGACCGAACATTTCACACAAATTGCAGACACCATTCAAGATGGCCCATTAATCCTAAAGATTCTTGTGGCGGCTGAAGAATTGGATCTTAATCGCTTAATTAACCACATCCAGAACTTCCTGATTGAAGAGAAAACCCAATGGCTCCAGGAAGATCCAGTCCAGATACTCAATCTTGTCTTTCAACATCATGCTTGCAAGTCATTACGTGATTAGAGTCTTCAAGCTATCTGTCAGAGACCAGAACTTATTTTTAATTCTGAAAACTTTCTTTCGATTGATGAACCAATGTTGATTCTATTGCTCACACGAGATGATCTAGCTATGGATGAGATTGACGTATATGAGCATTTAATGAAATGGGGTATCGCACAAGATACGTGTAGTCAGCTCACCTCTGATATCTCAAAGTGGACTTCCGAAGATTACGCCATATTGGAAGCAACAGATTCCATTAATAAGATGGTTCCAGATTCCACCCGCTGATTTCTCGCGCAAAGTACGTCCTTATAAGAAACTTTTACCCGAAGCGCTTTATGAAGACATCTTGAGTTACCATTTGCCGACTCTGAATGTCTCCTTTGATTCCACTACAATTACGTCCAACATAGTTGCTCTACTGGCAACATGGATAGGTGAGCATGAATAGTGTTTCTTAACGTTGTGACAACAATAAACCCGACTGACTGACTGACTTGACAAATGTTTCGCAGATTGTAAAAGTAAGGATGCTAGCTATAAGTTGCAGAAGAATCCATATGACTTCAAACTCGCATTCAGGGCTAGCCGTGATGGGTTCAATCATACTACATTTCACCGTCGTTGCGACAACAAGGGCCTAGCATTCTCCTAGCAAAACTGGCAAAATCATCGGCGGATATAACCCTTTGGATTGGGGATTGTATGGTTTCCAGGCGCTGAGGTCATTTGCTGTGATGCAACCAAGAGACCAACATTTGGAAGCGGGCCCGATTTGCAATTAATAATGACAAGACTTGGACGTCAGTTCCGAAATCGTACATCGATATTTGATGATGTAAATGGAACTATTGAAGTTTCATTGGTGGACGTTGGACGCATGAAACAAATTTTCTAGGTATAAATTATTTGCAGTCTCTAATTCTTATCGTCAGATATTGTTATGATTATAATGCAATAAATCCATCCGCATTAGCGAAAAGATATTTACCAAGACGTGCGTAGCGCTCAAAATTTAGACATGCCTCGACGATTATTAAACTCGAACTGAGAGTGATAAGTCAGATAATGGGTGATTTTGTTAAACGTCATCTTGATAGACAAACTTTTTCAAGAATGTTAGGGGTATGGACAATTTTTATCGAAGACCTTTAGGCTCATTCATGATACGTCGCATAATCAATGAATTAGCTGGCATTATGAGGAATGATGTTACAGAGTTAGTGAATTATTGTAGATTAGAACCAGGACCATTTACTAAAATTAAGAGGTTCTTTTTGTGATGCTTGCATTTGCTGTATCTATTGATTAGTTGATATACTCAGGCTACTATACTAGTGAATTACCGTTACCTTTGATAGCGAGTACGCGGAACATCTAAACTTTAAGCAATCGAAAAAGTAGCTTGTCAGGAAGCATTAAGCAGCACAGCAAAAACTTGAATCCTCCAAATTAAGATATTGTTGGCGTATATAAATAATGATGCTTACATTCGATCATTTGTAAGATTTTGCGGGGCGACACTTATTTTCATATTCGCTCAATTATTGTTTTCAAAGTTATACTTTACAGGCAGGCAAGCACTTTTTCACAGATGGATATGTTATTAATATGCCTATTTGGAATTTAGAGAATGTTACCAATAACAATCTTATGAAATGCATTTAGTCTTAATCGTCAAATATACACGGGTTAGTACTTTAACGGTTAAAAGACGTGCATCACATGGTTGTTGGTATTAAATTTGATAAACAATCGAAACTTCTGATAAGCAATCTGATAAGCGTTTATGTCGCACATTTTCTTTTATTGATAACAATGGCACAATGCCATATATACAAGATAAAGCGGCATGCGTAATCTTTGTTCGGAGACAATCTTCATAACGTATTTGACTAAACCAAAATTCTATAGTTACCGGAAATAAAAAGCAACGTCCCTACCGTTTTTATAAGACTACCCGCTTAAGTAAGCATATGGAACAACGTTCACGTCATTCACTAAGGCAACCGCTTACAAGAGATGAACGGTTGCAACGTCAACTTGCGAAAGCTGAAGGCTTCAAGAATTATCAGCTTCAATTACTTGAAAACTTACAATCACCTGCTCTTGCCAAGGGGGGAAGTGATACCCTTGTGTTTTTTCCTCCTGGTTTCCCGATAACTGACACACTATGGCCGTATCTTCTCAGGAAAAAAGAACAGTGGAATCATTCAGATATGAGGTCGTTTGTTAGTTCGTGCCTTGTGGCTTCATCTTCAGGGAATCCATTA